GATGGACTGGCTCAATTAGCCATTAGGGACACTTGGTTATCACTGGCTGAAGTTCCTATGAATACCACAGGAGGAAAACAGAGAAGGACTGGAGGACAACAGAGGAAAGACAGACATTACTGATGCAGTTAAGCATGAGAGAGGTGGTGTTTGACGCCCAGTTCACCAGGCCTGAGTGGTTCAGCAGGGACCCTGGGACTCATATGGCCTTTGGCTGAGCCCCACAGTGGGATGTCATCTGTAGGAGAGAGGAGACACTTTAGTAAATGTATGATTTAGACAGAAATCTAAATAAAGTAGGTTTGTAAAATGTTAACTCAAAGGGGGATGAAAGGAGGACAAAGGTGTCTGTCTGGTTCACTTAAACACAAATGTGATAATTTATGTTGAGCAGGGGTTCCTAGGAGAGAAATTCACAGAAATCCAAATGCTGTGCTAGTGAGCTTCTGTAAGGCTTTAAACCCTGAGCAACAGAAGATAAATGGCAGAATAGTACAAATGAAAAGGACCAAGCTTGATTACTGCTAGGCAGTTATCTCCCCAGAGAATGCAGTGTATATTTCTCCTCTGCAAGAAAGTACAGTGGGGACAGAGATTGTTTGCCCAGCCAGGGGCCCTTTCAGCTGCCAGGTGTGGCTTATGTTTCCATGATGCTGGTCCAGATCCTGTCAAAAACACAGCAGGCAAGAGTGCCATCTCGCTCCTCCACGGGCAAGCCCAGTTGGGAACACCAGGGATGGCGAGATGCACGGTGGACCCAGGGCAGCTGTAGCAGCCAAGGATAAGAGAGGCCAGATGGCTCATAGAAAATGGCTATGGATTATCGGGGGGGGGGGGCTTATGGGGGGGCGTTTCCCATGCCTGGCCTCATAAACTTCACCATTCTTTGAGTGAAAGTTAATACAAGTGATGAGACTTTGCTCATAGAAAATGGCTATGGATTATCGGGGGGGGGGGCTTCTGGGGTGGTGTTTCCCATCCATGTCCTCATAACCATCACTATTCTTTGAATGAAAGTTGATACAAGTGATGAGATCTTTTTATACTGCATTGGACTATGCTAACATTTCTATCTTAGCATCTTCTTAGTCTTCCAAGATCAACTTGGGACAGAGATCCTGCCCACCCACTGGATAAAGGTTTCTTTATATAATGCTGATTCTGAGTGCCTTATGGATTTATAAAAGCACATGTAAAATCAGTAAAGACAGCAGTTATGGAGTTTCAAGAAAGGCACTTTGTTAGTGGGAAAGGGAACTTATAGGAGCCTAAGGTTGTTGTATGAAAATCCTAGTGCAAGCATGGATTACTTCTCTATATAAGTTGGGGGCCAGGGAGGCCCCCAAAGCCCCACAGACCACAAGGCTAGTACCACTATTGTTGGTTACATGCTTTGGCTGCAGGACATAGAGAAATGGGGCCATGACTGAGATGGAAGCTCCCCCTCTTGCTGGCTAGCTTTCATGGTGTTGGAAGGCACAAGAGGGCTGCTGGGAGAGAACGGTCACTAACTCTTGCTTGGCTATGGACTCTTAATACTACAGTACCAACATGCCAGGCAAGATATGTCCACTAGTATGACAGTGATATGACTGTCTGAGCACAACCAACTGCTTTATGATTGGAATTAAGGCCTGCTTCATAGGAGGGAATCCACATCTGGTACAAGCCAGGGCAAAAGCCCAGGGCTGCAGCCATAGGCCCCAGCAGGGAAGCAATTGCTGTTGTTTTAAATGGATGTGTTGTGCACATCAGATTGACTTCTAAAATTGTGTTTACACCCATAGATTACTACTGTCAGTCACAGTTGTTCATGGAGGGAGATTTCTTTTTGCAAAGGGTGATATACTCCAGACTGTTGTAGTATAGGGAGTGGGCCAATACTCAGTCATAGATGGAGGAGGGAAAAAGCCAGATATTTATGTTGCCCTCTCCAGGACTCAGGAAATACTGCAGAAGACAGGGCACAAGAAAGGGTAGAGTGTTGTGGAGCTACTGCCTTCAAACCCTAACATTCACTAACAATAGGATGTAAACAAAACAAATCTCAGGAGGTAAAACTTATAAGACTCAGAAAGGTCCTGACTTAGAGGATTCACAGACTCCTCCCCCCCATTATAAAAGCAGTAAACAATTGCTGGGGAGAGGAGACTCTGAACCACTGCCTCCAAGTTGGGCAGGGAGTTCCAAGGACTCAGCTTTCATAAGTAGTTACCAATGCAAATACCTTTGACTCACCCTCACCCATATCCCTGAAACCCCCAATAAACTGACTTGCTCACTAAGCAAGACTTAGAATTGTCTGTTGTCAGTGCCTTATCTGAAATGAATACACATTTGTTCCCCACTGTTCAGTGTCTTACTGATGAAGAGGCAAAGGTCATCATCTCTAGAACTTCCAAATTTTAAGGAAGGGAGCTAAAAGTATGGATGCTCTAAATGAGTCCTGTTAGTATGGACAAAACATAACACAGACAAAAAAAAAAAAAAACAAACGGGGAAAGAAAAAACTTGGTTGGAAGATGGCTCAGGGGGAAAAGGTCTTGCCTAACACTGCTCTAACTCTTACGCGTC